TATATATGTATGTATACATGCAGGATTCAGACTCCTGGGTTTACAGAATTCTGTATACTCGCTCACACATTAGCTCCACATGGACACCTAGAGGCATCTCTAGCGTAGATTCTCCCATCTCAAGAGTTGATTTCCTTTATGTTAGGAGTGTCTAAGGTTGTATGTCATAGAACTTTGACCAGTTTTCTTTTTTAAAAAAATACTTATTTATTTATTATGTTTACAATATTCTTTCTGCGTTATGCCTGAAGGCCAGAAGAGGGCACCAGACCTCATTACATATGGTTGTGAACCACCACGTGGTTGCTGGGAATTGAACTGAGGACCTTTGGAAGAGCAGGCAATGCTCTTAACCTCTGAGCCATCTCTCCAGCCCCTGACCGGTTTTCTTAAGCAAGTAAGAGATCTATTGTTGTTATCCTCAGGAAACCTAAAGTCAGGCACCCCAGGGGATGGAGCTGGCCTCAGTATCCGCCATGCAAACATGACTTGAGTTTCTGATTATAATAGAGCTGCGGCCACTCCAGGCTTCACTTCATACTTCTGGCAGAAACAAGTTCTGCTGTCTTTCTGGGAAAACAGAAGTTCCACCCAGTAGAGTTGTGCTACGTTGTAACAAGTCTCAATTGTGTCGCATGACCAGGTGATGATAAGGGAACTTAGGAAATCACGATTTTCCATATTAACATGTTGAACTCTGAATGACATTTCCCCCTGTTCACGGGGTATTAAATAGAGCTGACAGTGGTTGTAAGCGCAAAACAGTGGTGACAGTCACAGATGGGATTCTTTTGTTCCTCCGTGGGCGCGACCAGGCTCCTGTTGCTTTACCATTTCCAGCCGCACAGCTTGTGCCTGGTGGATGAAGGTGTCTGGTTTGGCTCCACCCATTGTACAGGCCATTTACATAAAGGGTGGACGAATGAAAAGAAGGAAAGATTCCCTTCCTCTGTGCCTTTTGAGAGCCCTTCTTGGACTGGATTGACACATCCTCTTCTTTCTTCCCTGTGACCTGGATGCAGTCACATTCTTATTTTTTTTTATATTACTTTATTTATTTTTTTTTTATTTTTGGTTTTTCGAGACAGGGTTTCTCTGTATAGCTTTAGTGCCTGTCCTGAACTCTCGCTTGTAGACCAGGCTGGCCTCGAACTCACAGGTTGAGATATCCGGCTTCATGAACTGAGCCCCTAATGGATTCTTGGACTTTCTATTGATGAACAGCGGTTGTTGGTTTGGCTGGCTCACAGCCGTATTCATTCTGTCAGTTCTAGAGAAGTCTAAGACAGTCACCTGAAGGTCTGCCCTAGCGCCATGATGATCTGACCTACTTGTGCACTCCTAGCCTGCCACACCTGCCCACATCCACTACCAGCACACACAGTCAAGGCCATCATCTCTTGCCTCACTTTCTTCAGCCACTTTGAACTAGCCTGTTAGCTCCACCTCTCTCCCCCATGCTGTCTTTCTTGTTCAATGAACCCAGCATGTTCCCTCCAAAGTAGAGGTTAGATCGTGGCATGAATTGTTGATTCATCAATTTACCTCTCGTTTAAAATAATATCCAAATTCTGGCCATGCCCCACAGGGCCCTGAAGTGTATAGTGTTGCCACCTGTGAGAGTCCTTCTCTCCTTGCTGGCTTGGAGCACCAAAGGCCTGGCTCTCCCTTTCTGTTGATGTCTCTGCCGTAATAATGTTCCTTGGGTCGCTCATCTGGCTTCCTTCAAACAGAATTCAGTTCATGCCTCAGACACTGCCACCTCACACAGGCCTTCTCCTTGCCACCCCATCCTACCCCCGATTTTAATGCAATCACTTTCATCCACTCAATTAACTTGTTTTCTGTTGTTGTGCGGTGCTGGCTAGTTTCAATGTCAACTGGACAGAATCTAGGGTCGTCTGTGAGGAAGGAATCTTAATTGAGTAAATACCTTCATGTATTGTTAAGTCTGTAGGGCTTTTTTTTTTTGATTGATTGATGTGGAAGGGTCCATCTTACTGTGGGCAGTACTGTCCTTGGCAGGTGGTTCTGGATGGGGTAAGAGAGTAGGGTGAGAAATCCATGGGAAGCAAGCCAATAAGCAGCAGTCTTTCATGGCCTGCGCTGGTTCCTGTCCTGACTTCCCTGGATGATGAAATAAAGCCTTCCCTTCTCTAGGCACTTTTGGTCAAGGTGTTTGTCTATTATTGTCAGAGCCAAATGATTGAGAAGTGATAAAATTCTTTCCTCTAACTGGCAGGAGAATAATATGCTTGAACAAATCCTAAATCCTCTAGTGTCCCCATGCTGTCTTCTTTTTGGAACCAGACTTCTCTGGGTGTTACAGTTTATGGCATGAGTGACCCTGGCAGGTCTCACTGGGGGTGGGAGACTGTGGCTGGTAAGGGACAGACAGTTACGCCATATAGAGAGAGCCTGGGTATGGGGAGTTTATTTAATGGGTATTGGGAGAGTATAAGAGTAGGGAGGTATGGGGAAAAGAGAGAAATAGAGTGACAGAGAGAGGGGGGAATAGGAGAGAGAAGAAGGGAAGGGAAAGACAGAAAGCTGTCACTTCAGAAGAACAATGGGGAGGGAGGGAGGGAGGAAGAGAGAAGAGAGAGGGGGGGAGGAGAGGAGAGGAGGAGAGGACAGGACAGGACAGGACAGGATAGGAGAGAGCAGAGACCAGCTTGCCTGGGCAGGAAGGGGGACATTGGGAGTGGGTGGAACTTGTGTCTCAAAGGGACAAGGTACTGACAGGGAAGGCCAGCAAAATTATAACACTGGGAATCTCCCATGACCTCAGGCTCCAGCAGGCTTATAGTTCTCCAGGTAGCTGTGCCCAGGAGACTGTGTAATTCTGTTCCTATTAGTTCCATTGCTAAGAAAGTGTAGATTGGGGCTTGCAAATCACTTGTATCTGCATAGAGGGAGGAGGCAAACATGGGCTCAGCCATTGAAGGGCTGCTGTTGGAAATTCTCCTTTCTCATAGTGTCCATAAGGTTCAGCCTAGAGTGGTCACCGGTGAAAATTTTCTTAAATGCGGAAAGAAGTTTTATTGTGTTTTTGGCTACACAAGTTTAATCATGCATTTGGCTATATAGGTTCAGTTGTGTGTTTTCTCATGAATGAATAAATATTCTTTCTCTGTGTGTTTTGCAAAGGGGCCATGTTAGTAAGTCTTCAAGATTTCATTAGGACGGTAGGCTTATCCACTTATAGAGGTTACTTCGGGCATTGTTCTATAAGTTTAGTAGCATAAAGCTTCATGGGTTTATTCTCTCATGCTACCTAAGGTTTCAAAGTCCAAAATCAATAACCAGGCTAAAACTGAGTTGGCCAACAGAACTGCAACTCTTTTAGAGGCCCCAGGTAGTAGGTCCATTAAAGTTTCTAGAAGTCCTGAGTAGATACATCCAAGCTTCTAAAGGTCCTGCACTGACTTTTTTTTTTAGCTTCTGGGGGTTGTTGAGGCCATCATTAAAAGATAGCCACATACTTAGGATTGTTTTTACTTTTATATCCTGGTGATTAAACCCAATGGACTGTACATGCTAAACAAATGCCAAGCTACATTTCTGCCGTGACACAGAATCTTTATTTGTAGACCAGGGTACCCTCTGCATTGTGATCCTCCTGCCTTCGCCTCCTTAGTGCTGGTAGTATAGGTGTGCACCACCATCCCTTGTACTTCGTAACCTCTGCCCTCTTGTAAGGGCCTCATGGTTGCATTGAACCTGCCCAGATAATCCAGGACATTTACCCTGTTATTAAATCAATAATTTTACCAAACTGGAAAAAATTCCGCTTTGCTGTATGTGTAAAAACTCCAGGTTTAGGGCTTAGCCCTTCTTGGCAATAGATGGTACTTTACAGACCAGAGCTGCTTTGACTTAACTTTGAATAGCTTTTTTTGAAAACTACGTTTTTATTTGATTTTATTGGTTTGGGTGTTTTGCTTGCATGTGTGTCTGTGTACACTTCTGTGACTGGTGCCTGACGAGTTCAGAGGATGATGTCCAGACCCCTGGAATTGGAGTTACAGATGGTTGTGAGCCACTGTGTGGGTGCAGGGAATCGAACACTGGTCCCCCAAAAGAGCAGCCAGTGGTCTTAAAACTGAGCCATCTCTCCAACCCAGAATGTATTTTTTAATGTTGTTACCAAAAAGGACTGCCTGAATATTCTAACTCAAAACTGCCCCTCAGTGTGCACAAGGAGAGCTTGTAGGTCTCTTCTGGATTGTTGGAAGGATTAGCCTTTATCTATATTTTCAAATTCACTTCATTTCAGAAATTTCTAGAACCCCTCCTGAGTGTTGTGCTCCAGTTAATGTGACATTTCTGGGGACAGTGATAAGAAATGTCCATATTTTGTTCTGTTTTCTAATGTGAAAATCATATGTGGAAGAACTTTCTCTTTAGTTAGAGAACAAGATTAAAAGCTTGTGTTAATATTGCTATGAAATAAATTGGTATTTAAAACTATATGTCTTACTTTGCTTTCCTTTTAGTTCAAGTACTAGATTTCAGTGTTTCAGAAAAAACTCACTGAAGTCTGAAATACTCACCATAACGATTATCAGACATAAACCCCATTGTTCTGAAGCCTGAACAATCAGACTGCCTAAGGAAGAAATGCTTGAAAAACTTCTCGGCATATTTTAGTGAAGGTTTATTTTGCTTAGTTGGCTTTTCTTTCTCCCAAATTATTTTATTATAATTAACAGACATCTTTTCTCTTCTGTCTTGGAAGCTTAAGAAATGTATAAAGACTCCAGAAATCCCTTCTAAACACGTCAGGAACTGGGTCCCCAAAGTCCTGGAACAACGGCGGCAAGGCCTGGAGACATATTTGCAGGTAAGAGATGTTCCGTGTAACAGAGCCTACATCATTGTCTCACTAATGTAAGAATGTGACACCAAATACTGACCAGCAGCCGGAGATTCCGAGATGCAGGCTGTTTTCAGTTACAAATGTGGCTATTGTTTGGTTCATTAGCTTTTATTGGATTCTGTTTAAAGTTGCTTATGCATTGGGTAAGTTCAGATTTAGTGTCCTGGGAAGAATGCTATTGAAATGATCTGTGCATCTTTAAATTCAGCTCTACAGATTACTTTGTGTTTCAGATGCAATGATTCTGTTTTCTCAGCCCTTGGTTTTAGATGTTCAGGTACTAGTTGGAGTCCTGAGAGAGAGAAAATAAATCTTCAGTGGGACAGGCCAAGATATGTGTAAAACCCCACCAAGCCTGTATAGAAATTGCCCCTGAGAAAGTGTCAGCTTTTCTGAGAATCAGAATATATGTCTAGAGCAGTGGTTCTCAACCTGTGGGGCGCGACCCCTTGGGGGTTGAATGACCCTTGCACAGAGGTCTTGTAAGACCATCAGAAAACACAGATATTTACGTTATGATTCATAATAGTAGCAAATACAGTTAAAAAGTAGTAACGAAAATAATCTTATTGTTGGGCTGAATTAAAGTGTCGCAGCATTAGGAAGGTTGTGAACCACTGGTCTAGACGGAGTGCAAGAGGAAGTTCTCTACTTTCTCCTTGAAGGACAAGCAGAACTGGGTGAGATAGATGAAGGCCTCCTACACAAGTGACAGAGAAGGCAAAGGAGAGAATAAGGCGCTGTCTGTTGTGGTAAAAATAAAACCCTCAGCGGGTCCCAGGCAGGGAGCTGCGCAGCAGGTGAGAGACAGAGACACACCATGCAGAGATAGTGGGTATTTATTTAGTGGGTTATGGAAGGGAAAGGGAATGGGGAAGGGGAGAAGGGAAAAGAGCAGAGAGAGAGAAAGAAAGAAAAACAGAGAGAGGAGGGAAGGGGAGATGGTGGGGGAGAAGGGAGAAAGACAGAAGCTGCCTCTTTGGGAGAGAGATGGAAAGGAAGGAACTCAGGCTGGAAGCAGAAGGAAGATCTGCCTGCCTTAGCGGACTGGGGAGGGAGTGGGTGGAGCTTGTCTGTTAAAGGGACAGGACAGACCATTACACTGTCCACTTACCTGAATGTTACCAAAGCCTCTGAAGTCTCAGGTGACTATTCCATGGTGTCCCCAATAGATGGGCAGCACAGGTACCAAATTAGACCCAAATAGTCAGACATGTACTACATTTGGTCCCATGTGAGAAGTGATATATGGAGGTGAGCATAGTTTGGTGAGGAAAGGAATCCTGCCTCAAAAAAGAAGGATGCAAATATGATGTTGGACATATCTATAATCAATCCCAGAGCACTTTGGGATGCAGAGATGTGTTGAGGTAGACCTATAATTCCAGTGCGTTGGGATGCAGGTGTGGTGAGGAAAACCTATAATCCCAGCACTTTGGGATGCAGATGTGTTAAGGTAGACCTATAATCCCAGCACTTTGGGCTGCAAATGTGTTGAGGAAAACGTATAATCCCAACACTTCGGAGGCTTGGGCAAGAGAACCAGAAATTTAAGGTCAGCCTGACCCCATCTCCAAAAAGCAACACAAGACAGAAGAGTCAGACTTCTTGTAAGAGTTAAGAAGACTGATCCTTCTAAGATGATCGTATTAGAGAAATGGGTAGCATAGCCGTGTTCTTTCTGCATTGTCCTTGTGGTCCAGGGTGGACCTTGCATAGGAGAGAAGCTCCTATCACTCCCACATCAGTCAAGCTTGTGTGCTGTCCCCATACAGAGCTCTGATGGATGGCTGGGTCTGAGTCACTGGTGGCTGATACCCAGGGATAAAGAGGAGAACATCTCAGTAGAGGAAGACGCCAGGTGTCAGTTCCCAACCTTCTCTTGTGTTGTCATCTTTACCCTGTCCAAGGAGGACACACAGGGCAGAAGAGATGGGGACTGAGGAGGAGGATGCTTATGGGTTTTCCTCTTGGGCTTTGTGGCTTGGAGGAAGGATTCTCCACTGTGTCTCTGGGAGTGAGAGTCTAAATTTAGGCAAGTGGAATCACAAATTGCACGAGTGTGTGTGGCCTTCTCTGAGATTCTTTGGTAGAGTGATCAGGATTCCATAGCTTCGGGCAACACTTGAGAGCAAATGGCAAATCAAAAACCAAGCGAACGCGACCTAAGAAATTGTCTGCAAAGGGTAGAAGGCATGCTCTCTGTAATTAGACGGGATAGGTAAACAAAGCACTTTCATTTGCAGGGCCAGATTTTCCACAGATATTGTATATCTTCAGGCTTTAGCCCTGAAGAGAGCTTTAGCCCCCTTTCACCTCCCCCCCCCCATTGCATTTGACACATGACTTCCATTACTCCTCAGTGTAAACATTTTAAGTTGTTTGTGCTCCGTATGTAAATATGTGGAGAAAATCATCTGGCACAGGAGGGAGCTTACAATGGTGCCCAAATTGAGCTTAGAATTTTCTATTCTCAGAAATGGGCCTTGAAAGATGTGGTTGAGGGCTGAGCGTGCTTGCTTCCTGCTGTGTGTTTCTAATTCACGTTGGTGTCGCTCAGTGACTTTTGAAAACCCAGAGAACTTCATTGTGAGCCTTTTCTTCTCCCTTGGACAGTGGGCGCTAGGCGGAGGTTGTTGTAAGGTCCAGAAGTGAAGGGCAAAACCCTGGCTGTGGACAACTCTTGCTTTTTAGGTCTCGATGAGGTAGACAGCATTGCCATTTCTTCCACTGCCCACCTAACTCCAAGGACAATCCCATTCACCCTCAGGACCAGGCTCAACCCCAGGGAGTAGCTGCCACCAGCCTGTCTTGTCAGACACCTGCAAGTCAGCTCAGCCTGCGCTGTAGGGTATGACACTGACCTGGCCCAAGCCATGCTCCCAAGGTCACAGAGGCCTAGACTCCCCATGCCAGCTCATTTGCTGCCTGTCAGAGACAGTCTGTTTCTTGACAAGGTCAGGGCAAATGACCCTACTTTTCTGGAGGGCAGCTGGTCACCTGTGACTGCAGCCCAATACCTTACCTGTGGTGGCCCACACTGCTGTTTTCCTTAGACACGGGGAGACTGAGATCGGAGAGCCTCTAAAGCCTGTGTCACCTTCCCAAGTACATATGTTAAAGGGCTGGGGGTAGAATTTTATTTTCCCATTGCCCAGTATGGGCTCTTCTTGTTATACACTGGTGATTTTTCTAAGTTAGGAAAAAATTTTCACCCTTGTTAGTTTTATATTTCATGTAATAGTAGGTCCAAGGAAAGACTTTATAGTGATCAATATTACAGTTGATCAGAATGATTCTTCCCTGATTGGTTGATTAAATAGTTGATTGGTGAGTAAATGTTGGGGTTTTTTCCAATTGTATGTGTGTGTGTGTGTGTGTGTGTGTGTGTGTGTGTGTGCAGGCACGCACACTCACTCACTTATCTGTATGTGTACCACATGTGTGCAGGAGCCCATAGAGACCAGAAGACAGTACTGGTGCCCTGAAACTGGAGTTGCAGGTGGTTGTGAGTGGTCATGTGGGTATTGAGTACCAATCCCAGGTCCTCTGTAAGCTCAGTAAGTGCTTTAACCACCGAGGCATCTCAATAGCACCATGATTTTTAAGGCTTTTAACTTAAATATTCAAAATCCTAGCAAATAATGCTTCCATTTTCTGTGTTGTCATCTGGCTCAGTGGGGAGTTGTTTGTTTGCTGTGTTTTGTTTGAAACAGCCTGGCTGGCCCATGCCAGTGTTGAACTCCTGGGTGCAAACCAGTTTTTTACCTCAGCCTGAGAACAGCTTATGGGACATCCTCAGAGTTAGAAAATAACTTTAAAGAAGAAAGATAAACTCACCCATTTTCAAAATTAAGTTTGTTCTAAGATGTTAATCAAAAGAAGCAAAACCTTTCTTAATGTCTGTATTTTTCACATTCTTTTCTGTTCTTTGGTCACTAATACTTTGAAAACAAGAGTCAAAGAAAGCCTGCACTTGGGTTTGGTTTAGCTGCTCTTTTGTTCAGAAGTGAATGACGTACTAATCTGTCAACTATAATTTAGAAATAGCATCAGTATTAATGAAATAATGTAGTGTATTTAAAGCTACAGAGACATTGACTAGCTACCTGGCACCTTTGTAACTGGAGGTGTCTTTAAAACCTTTTACAGTGTGTTTGAAAAAGCCAGCTTGCGTCAGGCATGACAGCCTGTGTCTGTTGTTACATCTATGCAGGAGGCTGACACAGGAGCATCACTTAAACCTAGGAGTTCAACATCAGCCCGGGGAACATAGCAAGAACCAGGAGAGAAGGGGAGAGAAGAGGGGCAAAACGAGAGAGGGGGAGGATGGAAGCCACTCTGTCTTCAGATAGGAGTGTCACATCTTCACGGGGGGGGGGGGGGTGAAGTAAGCATAGCAAATAAAAGTGTCACGAAAGGCTGGCATGGTGGCCATAATCACGGCACTCTGGCTGGGAAACGTGGGTTTGGGTGGCTGCTGACGTTTCAGCGTTATTATGGGAAGCCACAGAGTTCATTCCTCAGATCCTAACAATTTCCCCCCTTCCCTGATCCTTTCCTAATCTTATGCTTGTTTTCTAGACATGTACTGTTTTCAGTAGAATTAAGTTGGAAGAATAAGAAAAGATATATTCCCAACTTCTTGGAACAGGAATCTGTTGATTTTTAAAAAATTTATTATTATTATTATTAATTTATTTTAGTGTATGGGTGCTTTGCCTGCATGTATGTCTATACATCACTTTTGTGCCTGGTGCCCTCAGAGGCCAGTAGAGGGCATCAGATCCCCTGGGACTGTAGTTACATACAGATAGTTGTGAGCTACCCTGCATGTGCTGAGAATTGAACCTGGGTCCTCTGGAAGAGAGGTCAGTGCTCTTAACCACTGAGCCATTTCTCCAGCCGTATTTATTTTTGCGTATGTGTGTGGGTGAGGGCACATGCTTGCCACAGCCCACATG